TGAGCGGTGACGTCAAGGAACAATGTCTCTCCTCCCGACACGCATACACGCACGGCAAGCGTACGCACGCCAGCACGCACACACAAGCTCTTCCTAGTCAAGCAAGGCTGAAGGCTGAACTACCCGGAGGGACGTCCGCTCATCTCTAGTGCATCAGATAGAATCACTCACTCCACATGCAGTGCGTGCTCATAGACTTTCTTCTGTGTTTTTTCCCCCATTAAAATGTATTGGGTGGGAGATCAGGCGCTATAAATAAACCATCAAAGAAGACAGCAAAAGTAGAACATCTTATTTCTAACTAATAAATTTGGATACAAGATCATCAATACCCAGACAAGAAGATTAGGTGTCCATTCACACTGTCATCAGTCCAGGGGTCAAATTCACATCTGGCCCAGGCTTCACTGCTCTTTGAAGGGAAGGAAGTGGCTGCCACCCTCTTAGCTTCCTGCCTGTAGGGGTCCTGACACTGATGCAGCAAGTGGCTAAACAGGGCATGAGCAGTGAGGGGGTGGGTTTCTCTGTCAAAGTGTCTCAAGGACACCCCAGGCCCCGGTCGAAGCATCTATCCACACTTACGGGGGCAAATGTGACGGGTGACATCACCGGCTCTGGCACTCACTCATTTTTATTTCGGGGGCCTGTTTCTTAGCTAGAGATTGGGTGAGCAGTCAATGTCACAGCGCTGCAGCTGTGAACTCATGATCGGATTTTTTTCCTCTGGAAATGGCTTGTCGAGATGACCCATGTCTTTGTTTTGACCCTGCTGCTGTTATTGATGTTTTTCATCTGTCATGTTGCAACAGTGATCTTGTGATTCACACAAGACACATCCTATATGCAGGGTATTTTTTTTTTCTGAAATCCTCAGGGCTTCTTGTAGTCAGACAGTTCAGGCTTTTTTTCAATTCAATAGGCAGTAAGTATAGAATGTTACTGTTCCCCCAGTGCTTGGGGTCAGCGACTGACACATCTATTGTTAGCTTTTGCCATTTAGCGATCATTCAGATCATAATATTATCTGTTCTGGATCATCAATCAAATTTTTGTTTAATACCAATTTAAGGCGACAAAGCCTTTTACTGGTGTCAGGGGGCCCTCAGTCAGTCGGGTCGCTCTCAAGTTCTAAGAAAAGCTTGTTGTCAGAAGTCCTCACTTTCATTGCAAGGCGTGCACCTCAGCCTCTCTAAAATAATTTGGCCAGATGGCTGCCAACAAGATGGATGGATTATAGGTGGGGTGACTTCAGCTTGACTTGGCTCTGTGTATAATTTCATACACAGTTTTTCAAAGGACCGAGTGAATGCATCAAAAGAGAACAAAGGGAACTCTCAGTGAAGCATGCTCTGACAAGGTTAATACATATTGCATTGTGTTGGAGTGTATCGAATTAACATATGAAAACTGTTTAGACCTCAGAACATCGGTAACAATCAAGGCCAGACCCGGCTTGTGACTTGAATCCAAATAAAAAACGATGCAGTTTTCTCTCTGCCACCTTTCTGTTTGATGTCAAGGCTTCCTTCTGTAGCGGCAGCAGAGAGAATGATGGACGCTGCTGGGGCCTCATGTAACTACATGATGGAGGGATACTTTCAGTTGTGCTGATATCAGCTCTCTCATTCACACAGAGGCGTGATGGTTGTTCACAGTGCACCCTGTGTTCACCACCATCAGGGTCTTGCTGCTGAAAACACTACAATGAAGCAAATAAGTTCTATCATCTGTACAAGGTGACTGAGTGAATGACACCTATTCCTTTGGTGTAAATGGGTTTTTGACACTACTCCTGACAAGGCTTTTACTATAACTGTTACTTTGGAATATAGTAGCTACTTTAAATTAAAAAAAATGTTAATAATGTTACTACAACCAGTTAGCAGCCATTTTAAGCAGTTCCAACAAAGACTCGTGATTGCATAGTGTGTCATTTTATTAACCTTTCATAAAGTAACCAAAGAAATCAAATCTTCTGACGTTACACCAGAGTATCCAACTTCACCCACCATATTTAACTTTGTAAGTGAAGCTGAAGCAACCTTTCATGACAACTAAATATCTTTGCAAATATGATTTTGTTTCTTTTCCTTGGTATAAATGAAATTTCCAACCCTTGTCAGTGACACTACTGATACAAGGTTTACTATGGCAGCCATATGTTAACTGTAGTAAAATGATCATTATATTAATAATAATTTTGCAGTAGATTGGCAGCAATCTCACGACATTTCCACCATACCTTTAATTTTTATTATAGTGATCAAAGAAAGAAAAGAAATCTCATGAAGTCACACCATACAGTCCATATAATCCTCCATTAAGTTTAACGGGTGTTAAATTCCACATTCCCGTACATAAGGTCTTGATAGAGCTAATGTTATGGTTTAGCTGTATTTTATCATTTGATCTCTTCATTTATTTTGATTAATTATTTATTTGTTTTCAGTTAAATATCTTTTGACACACTAATCACGTACCTGGTATGAACGCAATGCGTTGGTTAAACACGTGATGAATATCCCATAAAATACTAATTTTTGTGTTTGAAAGTTATATAATTCATCGGCCAAGTAAGTGACTGAAGGCTGAGGATGGGAAACAAGGGTTAACAATCAGGACAAGTGGAACAGACGCAGGGCAGTAAATGGATCATCTCCTGCCGAGAAAGGGCAGAAGAGCACTATTTTAAAACAAGACAAGAGAAGTCTGGTTGAGTACACCATTGATTGTCTCTGGCTGCGAGTAGAACAAGGAGCTCAGAGAAAGGGAGAGGGGGCAGAAAACAGATGATACAACCGCTGGTTTCTGGAAACTCAGACAGCCTTTTAATAATGCTCCCTCACTCTTTCAATCGTTCTCTTCATTTCTCTTCTGTTTTTCACAGTGTATGTCGACTGAGCAGTGGCAGATAAGGCAGACAGCCAGGGCCCCATGCTGACTGGCCCGACTGGCTGTGGGGAGCACAGGGGCAATCAATGAGTGCTCACAATAGAGCGCCAGCATCCAGATAGTTAACAGCTCCCTGAGGCCATGAGAAGGAGGTGGAGACGATGGGGGATACAAGGAGTGGGAAGAGTGGAGAGAAAAGCCAGAGTAAGGTGGAAAGAGGTGGGTGAGGACATGAAATATATTGTTCCTCTGTTATTGGTAGAAATAAGGAACATGTACGAAGCTCCAGAGTGCATATTTCTTCACATTTGTTTTTGCTCACTAAAGCACTTGAGGTCAAAATTCAGTTCAGGAAACAGGACTCCCCAGTTATGAGACAGGAAGTGAAGAGTGGTGGTCCAGGGTGGTGGCTGCAGTGATAGTGCCATTGTTAGTTGACTTCTTCTTCCTCTCATTGTTACATGGTTGTTTGCAAGGTTACATGTGAGAGTTTCTTTCCTTTTTCTTTTTTTTGTTTACATTATTATGCAATGTAGTACCTGACCTTGTGATGAACATGTGCCAGAGGGATTTGGAGAGAGCTGAGTAAATGTGTGACTACTTCATCCTTGACCGCACAGCTAATAACTAACTACCTCACTAGTCACAGAGCAGCTCTCACGAAGACTCAGACCATTATTAATTCAGCTTTTCAGTTCCGTAGGTGACCTGCTCATTGCGTTAACACTGATACAAAAGTCTGGTGCAAAGCTAGAAGGGGAAAAACGTGATTTTTGTATTATTCTACATTCCAAAC